CCTTCCAGTAATTCACACCTTAAACAAATCTCTCGAAATCAGGCAAAACAAGCAAAGGACTGTGACTTTTCAAATGACCACTGGTGCAAGCTGGTAACCTCCTCCCAGATGTCTCCACCTACCCCATCTTGGGGCTTGAAGCACTGTTTACAGACATTAAATGGAAGCATTGCAAACCCGACTCTGCAGGACTGCTCCCTGCAGACAGCCATCAACTCAAAATGTGAGCTTCAGCATGCAGCACAAGGAACTGATAACTGTCTTTTAAAGAAAAATAAATTAAAACAAATTAGGCCTTGATCCTTGGGGCCCAGTTCTAAAGAAAACAATTTTTGTTTGCAAAATGCACTCTTTCACATAGAAGTTCTCCAAAATAGCAGTGAAGACAATGAAAAGCCATAGCAGAGAAAATGCCTCAAGCCCACCTTGTTCTATTCCAACATCCCCATGAAGAATAGTTAGGAATTTTAGAGGTAAGCTTGCTACACGAATGAGCCACCATCCCATTTTGCCAGAATAACCATTTGCCATGAAGCTCACCAAGCAGACATTGGTTCCAATGGGCCTGCTTTGCCACACATCAGCAGCTCTGCAGCAAAGGGCTCAGCCATCACAGCAAGCTCATGTCTCAAATTCAGCCCTGTGGCAACTTGTTACACCAGCCTGACTGCTCTCCCATCACTGATGGCTTTGACTCACTAGCATTCAAACAATCATGAGAAATCATCTCATACCTAAATGTCTTCTCCATTATCCAGACATTTCCCAATTTTCTAACAGAATAATGTGGCCTTTGAAAGTAAAGGAAATTCAATGCTAACTGAAGACCAAAACCACACCTGTTCCCCTTCAATTCTGGATCAAAGTGGACACTCCCAGTCCAACATGGAGATGACATTTGGCAGATATGCAAGATGTGATGTTTTGCCTTTGAAACTAGAACCCATAATTTTGGGTTGTTGTTCTGCCAATTTGACCTAAAAGGAACAGCAGACTGTCCCATTTAAGAAATCCATGCCAATACTTGCTATATTTTTGGCACACCTTCAACTAAAATGCTGAGAATTCAAACCTTCCACCTCAGTGACTCCAGGCTGCTCAGGCTGTTGGTGTTTCCATCCTTGCCTACACCCTGCTTCAAAGACAAACAGCACTATGCTTAAACCACCCAGTAAGAGACAAGCTTTCCTTTTGTGCTGGTCTAACAAAGTAACGCAAGAAAAATTTATAGATAATGTAATTCTTATCAAATCCATCTAATATTAAAATAATTGTGACTCTAGAATTCTTCTTTGCTTCCAGATCCTAAGCTGGCACTGAAGAACTACTCATATTGCATTTATTTTATGAAATTGAAAAGAGCTTATGAACAGTAGTCATGCACCATTCTCACAAAGCTACTTTTTAGACTTCAGACTGGGGAAGTGACATGAGAAGATACAGGTTTCCATGGCCATTCAATCGAGGCTAATAGATGATCAGATTAGCAAAGAAAAAACAGTCAGCAATTCTGGTGGAGAATTACATACACAGGTATTGGAAATGGATGATGCAGAAGCCAAATATATTTCCTATTTTAAGATTACATATACTATGAGATATATATATATAAATATCTCACTACGGGTACCTTATATGTTTGATAAGCAAGACTTGCAATCTCAGTCAAGAAGGATTGGAGCAATTGATAGGTAAAGTCCAGTTCATCAAGAGCTACTAGAAAGATTCCCAGTAATGAAATTCCTTCTCAAAACGTTTTTCAGGTAATAGTTGGCAAATATTCCGAGTTAATAGTGGGAGAAAGAACATTCTCCACACACCTTTTCCTGACATTTTATTTACCTTCTTCCCATAATGTTTCAGCATATGCTTAGGGACAGCACTAAATTTTGCAGAGGACAGGTTATTTATTCCTTAAGAAGCTGTCTTTAAATTCGAAGCAAGTAAACAGAATCAAGAAACCAACTAGTTACTGGAAGTAGAAAATTATTAAAATGAAGAAATGAAAATTTGTATTGCAACACTGATACCTACCAATGAAATGACAAGAGTATGCAAATCTACCAGCTTACATCTGTCATACCAAAACCATTCCCTGTAAATAGTACAGTAAACCAGACAGATACATACAAATACAAATCTAGATCAAACAGATGGTATATTCTCACTCTGGATGGCACCATCCATTCAGAGAAATATACAGAACTCAATCTTCTTTCACTTCTGGTTTCATAATAAGTGAAAGCACATGTCCTGTTCCAGCCAGAACAGAGTTCATTTGTGCAGTATCCCAGAGAAGGCAAAGTCAGGACCCATTCTATACCATCTCAGACCATTGCTGGGGTAGGGGAAAGGGACTCTCCTCTGGGAAGAAGGGGCTTCTTCTGGCCAACTAAGTGTGGTGGAGGGAGCAGTTGGGTGGTGCCAGTTCCACACCAGAGGGAGCAGCTGGACAATACCTGTTCCAAGCTGGAGGGAGGGGTCAGGGTGGTGTATGTGCAGTTGGGTTGAGCTCCGTGGTGACCATTTCTGCATGTGAATCACTCTTTCTTGTGTACACTTTTGTTAATATTGTTGCTGTTTATTCTCTTCTCTCACTGCTGCTTCCAGTAAATTGTTCTTATCTCAACCCGGGATTTTTACCTTTTGTGCCTCCAATTCTCTCCAGCCCAGCACAGGGGAGGGGAAGGTAGGAACCAGCAAGAGGCAGCGTGTTTTGGAGCCCTAAATTGAGGAGTACCATTCCTAAAGCACCACCACACAATAGAGTTTAAATGAAGGACAGGGCTGATAAAAGTGCTTACCTCAGTCGGTTGGTATAGGTATCTACACAGGTCTTCATTTTAGCCAGCAAGGTCCCAACAGAAGCTTGTGACTCCAACTGCTCTTCCTCCTCTTCACTGCTTTCCCCTGACAGAGGAAGCAGTAACGGCACCATCGATGTGCAAGAGGCGATAGCGCGGAGCAGTTCTAGCAGAGCTCGGTACAGGGGAACGTGTCGAGCCATATCCAAAACTACGAGAGACAAGCAGTGCACAAAAATCACTAACACTGGAGACTCCTTCATTCCTAGTATGGATATTTTACATAGAAAAGGGAAATTCAGTAATTTTAAAAATACTAATGAAATGATAATATACAGTATTTTGTAATCGCCATTTTTAATTTGTGTTGTAATGGACCTGCACAGAAAGAAATTTACAAGATACCTGAAAAAAAAAGGTTAACAAAAGACACAAGAGGACAAAAGTGCTAACAAGGTACTGAACGAATTACCACATGCTATATTCATTTTTAGTACCTTAATATACAGTCCTGGCTCAAATTGTATGGTAACAGTAAATGTAAACAAAAATCTATGGAGGAAAAATTGTAACCTATGGCGTAGCAGAGTAGCATTTGCTGAATATAACAGCATAAGCATTAATAAAGACTTTCACATCACCCACTTTATTTACAGCCATCTTCCCCTTTGGGAAAATGTCTCTGCATTATTGCAGAGAAAAATATTTATGGCTCTTAAAGGAATGAAGTTATCTACTCAGTAGAAGCCTAGTTTTGCTTCTTTCACGAAGAAAGGATTGTTTTAAAAACCAGTATGTATCCTTCAGAGCATGCAAATTTTATCTGCATATATATGAACCACAAAACAGTAAAGATGAGTAGGAACATATAACAGGCAGGCAAACCTTCCTGTCTTAGTGCTTATCAGTGTGATATATATGTGTTACAGAAGTAACTGTGGGTAGAATATAGATATCAGCTCCTCTGATTAGCAAAGACAGGCAGACACACACAACTCTAATGGATTCTCTAGCACCACACTGTTTATTTTTCTTCTCCACTTGTTTGGACAAATATGTAATGGATGTCATTTCCACTGACTTTGTATCATTAATAGAAATCCTGAAAATGTACCAATAGGCAGATACTTTAACACAGCTGCTTCCTCTGCCCCTAGGACATGCTATTTTTAATGTAACCGCAGAAAATATTTGCTCTAGTTTAAAGTATTCACAAATGACTGGGTTTATGATAAAATAAATTTATTCTTTTGCCAGCAAAAAACCCCAGACAACAAAAAGCCCCTGACAACTTGCATTAGGACAGAACAAAGCACAGAAGAACTCTTTAATGTTTCATTTAGCACATCTCATCCTCCAAGCTAAAGCAGATCACAGACTTTCAACTCCTGTCACCAAACCCTTAGCTCTAAATACAGCACGATGGGACAGTATAAATAGCCAAGCTAAATTCAACAAGCCAGTTTATGCAGGTTTAAGGCTGGATTTATCTCTGCCAGGAGTTCTTTGATCAATAGCTTACTATTTGTCTTTTGAATCTATTATAATGGCACACACAAACTCTTAACTGGGTGAAGTGCTATTGAACAGGAAGAAAATTTACCAAAAGAAAATATTAATTTGCAAGGCCTGATATCATGGCTCTAAAAATAACTTATGTCAAAATACTCTATATATCTAAAGCAAACTGAATTTAGACACTGGCATTAAGAAAAACAGTTTCAATTATCTGCTGATTCTTACCTTTAAATATATATTTTTATTTATATATATATATGGGCCTCCATTTTTTATGTTCAGTCTCTAATGAAGAATGGTTGCCCACAAAAAAGCCCCAGAATATGTAAAAATAAACACATAGAAATCTGATGATCTGTGTATTAAACAAAAACCAACATATCAAACACACACAAAAAAAAAAGGAAAAAGAAAGGAAAAAAGAAAAGGAGGGCAGTGAAAAAGGGCAAGCATAAAATACATGCTACCATAGTGTAACCCTGGCCAGAAACCACCTCCCACCTACAGTGCTAAAGACCAAATGGCTCCTCAATTTAATCAATAGCTGTTTATTATGAGGACAGTGAGTGAGGGAGAGATATGACCTCTTAGATAACCACAGCATTTCACTCTGGAAAGCTTTTATTTATTTATTTTAACCATGAAATTTTCATGAGACCAGAATACATAATTTCAAATCCTTCAGTGCTGGCTTGCCCTCTCCTTTGCTAAATAGATAGTTAAGTTCAGAACTACCATCATGAAGGGAACTGAACCGACATAACTTAAAGTGGGAATGTTTTCCAGAGACATGGGAGAGATTTCTGGTTTTAGCAGCTCCAACTCACTTGCACTGCTTTGCAATAGTTCCCATGTGAAACAAATGAAATGCATTCACTTGGCTTCAGTTTAAACAACCTTTTAGGGAACAACTGCTGATTTCTTTTACCTTAATGCCAGACTCTGTGAGACTCAGTTTTTGGAACCATTGTATGTTTTATGTTATTTTTCTCCTTTATTATACTTACTAAGAATCGTGACTCATGCAAGTGTATTTTTTCTGTCCAAAATGCCTAAACCCCCTTCTATCCCAAATCTAAATCCTCAAAATGTTTATAGAAAAATAGTACAAAAACTTGCTGGAAAGAACCCAAAGGTGGCAAATTATTGTTTATCTTTATCTGGCAATTCACCTACTCCTTGTGCCTACTCTGCTTTCAGTTTGAAAGAATGCCAAGCTGATTACAGTGTATGCTTCCTGCAGATACAGGTCTGCTTTCTGAAAGAGGTGAAGACTTGAGCAGTCTGTTGAGCTCTATATAATTTTTAAGACACTGTTTAAGCCACTGGGACAACAGGATATTCTTTTGTAAATGCCTGGCCCAGGTCTACTTTTTGCTAAGCTGTCTGCCTCTTCCTGGTGTGACCCGCTCCAACTACAGATGTCCCAACAGCAATTTTCTGGACTGAAAGAGGCATAACAAGTCCAGCAGCATTACAAGTAGAACTTCAGTGTTCAGGCTGTGCCACTCACACTTCATCACCATCCTCACTGCTTTTAGTGTTTGCAGCACATTTAGTTGGGATTTCTGAAACAGGTCCTTTCTTCAGATATTATATATTTCAGAAATATAAATGACACAGGTTTATAATAATAAAAATATTTTGATCCTGTAACAAAGTCCTTTAAGGGAATTGAATTGAACTACTACAAACATGAATTAAAGCATGAAATACAAACCTGCAAATTAAAAAAGCTGATCTCCATCAAATAGAAGCAATGAAACTTTTGGACTACTGTCTTCAATACAGGTATCTGGCCAACTAAGTTGCCAACAATTTGCATTTCAAGCAAGTATAAACTTCAGTGAAGAACAAGTGTTAAAAGTAAACCACTGTATTCTTCCAAGCATGCCCTATCCTGGGAACATATCCAACTTTTTTTTGTCTGACTCAATTGAGCAATGAAGGTGTATCATAACACTACCTGAATTAAATATGATAGTTTCTCTTATAGGAAAAAAAAAAAAAATCCAACACACCATGAAACAGAAACAAATACTTTTTCTTGTACCAGACCTACAATTTGAATACCACTAGGACATATTTAATATGTCAGAATCTTTTTATATTGGTACTTCAGTTGTGTAAAAAGGCACCAACAGCCTTTGATTTATATGGGTATGCATGTAAGCACACTACACTGCAAATACACAGAATTCCTTAGGAAATGAAAATGGGAGATTAAAATTCTTGGCTTTGTAAAAATGGCAGATGACTACATTACCCAGGAGTCTCTGTTATCCCACGGATAAAACAGTTACTACATAATGACAGATACTTTTTACACAGAGCTCAGTTTGGGGCTCTCAGTCTCCTGCACTGAGTACACTCAGACTGTCCTGGTTGTCAGGCTCCCACCAGCTGTGGCATCTGTCACATCTGTCCTTTTTGGTGCTGTTGGTGCTCCCTGATTCTGTGGGTCAGTAAAGTGCTGAGGAATGCTCAGCTCCCAGCAACACTGACCTGTTCAGAAGCTCCCCTTTGTTGACTCTCAAACAGAAGTGCTGCTCCAGAGAGCCCACCTGAACTTCTGCTGGGTTTCCTGAGCACTTCTTCAAATGATTACTATATGACACATAGTTACATCAAAAGAAAAGATTAAATTATTTCTTTTCTAGACTCAAGGCAGGGATTTGCACTCAGGTTTTATCCTGCTCCTTGTCTGCCTTACCAGGGCTGTAAGGATCAGTCTGCCTGGCAGCAACAGTGATGTTTCAGAGAAGGCTCCAAAAGCAGAGCTGGGAACTGGATTCTGCAGCACCTGACCCAAGCTGCTTCCCACACAGCCTGCCTTGTGATTCTCAACTTGCAGTGAGTAAATACACATCAGGGTCTCACCTTTTGGCTATACCAGCAGTTGACCAGTTCAACCAGCAGAGCACGAAGCAGAGCACAGGCTAAAACCTGCAGCTGAAGCTGGAGTGTGAGCAGGCAGCTGCAGACACCACCACGGCCCCTCGCTGGGGCCGCAGGCAGCTGTGACAGCCCAGGGTGACAGAGCAGGGCAGGAGGTGACAGGGAACAGCAGGGCAACAGCACTATGGGGGGCAGCCAGATGATGACAGCACTGCTCTGAAAGGCTGGAATATCAGTGGCACCACCCACAACTCTTAACAGTAGCAATTTTATCACCACCTTTGTTTTATTAATTAAGCAATTATGAGTGGATGTATCCAAAAAACAGGTCAATGTCTCAGTGTCCCTGATAATTAGCAAGGAAGTTCAGGGGCAACAGGCAGCATACATATTTACTCACAATTCACATCAAAAAAAGTACCTCAGGTCTAAATTTATTCTGTTGCACGTATCAGAGCAGAAATCTCAGCAAGGTCACAGCTATTTGCTAAGATAGGTAGGGATGACAAACATTTGGAAAACATCTCATGGTTTAGGGGAATAAGGTCTCACTCCACTTTTCCCACTCCTTTTGGTAATGAAGGTCAAATTTTACCAGAATCACTACAATTCAGCTAGTCTCTTGCCACAATATTTGCAATTTAGAAAGATGCTGAACGAAGGCTAAATAGATGAAAAAAATAGAGATTTCATTAAACTAAATCTCCCTTATATGCTAATAACAATCAGTCTATTTGGGTGGAAGGAAAAGGAGCATTACTGAAGTTGGGTTAAGAAGTCTTGAGTTCTGCAAACTGCTGAGCATCCTGTCTTTTGAAAACTGCAGTCTTTCACTAATGTGCCTAAATGTCATGGGATATATTAAGGCATTTTTGAGAACTTTTAACCTATGCCTACTTGTTCCTGGGAAGTAACTGATTAACATTTAAAGATCATGTGTGATTTCAGAACGTTTCAATTTCTTTCCACAAATCTTTTTGTTCATCCCTAATACAGATCTATTTCTTACAAATATCTAAGACTAGCTATGTCAATTACAACCCTAATATAATGAAAAAGTGTATGAGGGCAGGTAGTTTCACAGCATCAAGGTATCACCTTAAATTTCATATATATTTGTAGCAAGATAATGACCCAACTGAGTCTAATACTCCTTTCTTTCTTTTAATATTATACAATATTCTAACAAAGAATAGCCAGGCCTAATGGCCCATTAAATAGACAGTACTGAACAGCAATACATTTTTTTGCAATTGATTTAACATCCTCAGTTCAACTTAACTGGCTATGAATAAGATTATTTCCATTGCAAAACATATTTAAAACATTCCAAAGAATACGTACATTTATTCTAAAATGAAGCAAACTATTAATATAGCATATTCATTATATTAAAAAAATCTTCACACTTTACAGCAAATTAAAGAAACAAATAGGGGAGAATAATTTGTAGGAAAATGATGAAAAGTTCTGATTTCCTTGCATCTAATGTCAAGGCCTTCCCCACTGATTCTCACTGTGACTATATTAGGAATTCCTATGCCAAAGGAGCCTATAAACTTGACATGAAAAAACCCCCAAAACAGTCACTTGAGGAAAAATAAAAAACCAACACCTTTACCAGTTTTGCAGCTATGATACTGCCTGATGCAGACCCTTCTTGCTTCTGTGCTCTGACAAAAGCTGCCTATATATGCTCTCAATCTATCTCCTGTACCTAACTTCTCATTTTCTGCACTTATTATTTAAGGACTTAGTGAATTTCAGTTATTTTAAAGGCCCACAGACTATTTTTCTTCTGAATAGTCTTATTTTAATTCAGACCAATACACATGACTGATGTTCTGCCTTTGTTGAAGGAAAGAATATTGTGCTGGCAGCCACAGCAGAAGGCACCACTGGAAACTCCTCCAAAACTACAGTCCTTTTATATCTTTTCTCAAAGAGATCTACCATTGCAAATATGAGAGAGATGATCATGAATGATCAATTAAAAGGAAGTAGCTGAAAAGAAACACATGTTGGGGAGAGAACCCATATGGAAACCCAAGAAATATAAGGGAGGCCTCCTTCTTGCATGTGGTAAAATTTCCAGTGACCCCAGAGATGCTTCCAAGTCTCATTTCTTATTTAGTTTTGAATCTATTTCAGCAAGATATTTTATCTTCCTGAGAAAATGAATTATTTTGTTTTGTTAAATATTCATCCTGAAGTAGCTATCTAATCCTGCCTCAGTTTTAAGCAATGTGAAAGATAACCACCAGTTATGTGGAGTAACTGTATTATAGAACTGTTCTATTCATATCATGCACAAATGATCAAAATTTACTACAGTGTATCCAAGCCTCCCCTGCAAAAATCCCAAGAAAACATCTATGTATACTGAGTGACCTTTTTTTTCTTTCATAGTAACAATCAGCTTAGGAAGCTAAAAGTAAAATAAGACATTCTCATTACCCTGCTACTTACTGAAGTTTAAGACCAATGTTAAGACCATGACTGCAGTGCCACATTCACCTGGCATTACATTCTTCTTTTTTACTTCATGCTTTTTAACCTCCAAATAAATTAGAAGTAAGATCCTAAAGTTCTGCCAATTTTACTTCATTTCTAAAACATGCTTAGTAATTAGCGAGAATTTCTTTTTTGATACCTCAGTTATTCACAAACCTAAAACCCATAGCAATGACCAAAGACTTCAGGATCTCCTTATCATACTAAAGACTCTCAGCTGCTATGAACACCACTGTTCAAAAAACACACACAAAGGAAACACTCATGTTGTATTTTTAA